TATTTTCCCAGATTTACAGATATGTCCCTCACGAATTTCCTCTCAGGTAGGTCTCTCGGTTAGCCCTCAGCCAAACAAAATTACGAATCTAACCCTACCGATTAGTGTACAACCTCGCAGTCAGTCTCGACAGTCAAAATCAGCAAGTCATTGCAATGGCATGACGCACTGAAGAAGTGTCGGCATGCTGCCTCCACCTCGTGTCGTCATCCGCAACGCTTGTGCACAGCCATCATGAAGCCAGCGTCGTGTCAAAGTCGAGCCAGCGTCAAAGCAACATAGCAAGACTGAATGCTTGACTTACTCGAGGTCAGCCTTAAGTAACAGATGTCGAGGTTGTCTAGCCTCGGGTAATTTTCCCGCAGTCATCAAGATTGAATCACAGCTGAGGGCCCGGATTGTACAGTTGCAGACTTCTCCCTTGGACCTGATGTTGTCTGGGTACCTGCATACAAACAAGTGTGTGTGCTTGGCCTGCGGCCTGGGCTAGGTACCTTTGGACTTTGACTGTTGAGTGGACCGAAGTTGACTAAAGTCAACTGTCACACACCCAGGCCCTGAATTCGTGAAGGGTCTTTTCTGCCCTGGTTCGACCTGGACTGAGGGCGGCCAAGTAGGCCCTCTGATGACACTCAGTTCCACGAGACATATGGTATGGGTTATTGCATTCCTGCCGACCCCGTTTTTTAGTTCCATCGCAGAAAATTAATTCTCAGTTAACCCACGTTCATATGCAGCAATAACATCAGGAGTAGTGGGTAGTAGTTTTTTCCTACTAAACCATCTGGCTTTAGATGGGGGTTGGGACTTGAACTTTACCTTGTACTGCTTTTGAGGTCGTCCTCTGCCACCTGTAGAGAAACAGCCATGTTCCAATATTTTTTCAACTTCGTAGCCTCCGTTCATAGAAGGTGGAATCATAGATGGCTTATTTGGGAAATCGTTATTTTCTACATAAGCTTAGACGCATGGAAGACAAGGTATATCCTTAGATGTGGTGGCATATCTATATGGTAAGAAGGTTCATCTTCACCTCCAATTACTTTGAGAATTTCCCAGGGTCCATAGTAGACAGGTAGCAGTTTCTGAGACACATTTTCTTCGAAGGAAAACTCTTTAGACTTAACCCAAACAAAGTCCCCTTCTTGGAATTGTGAAGGACGACGATGTTTATTAGCTTGTTCAATCACTTGCAGTTGGGCTTTCAGTATGTTTTCATTCACATTCTTGATGTCTTCTTCGTACAAAACTGCGAATTCATGCGTCCCTGGGGGTAGCCGTTGAATCCGGTCTCTCGTTAATGCATCAATGGGATGCCTAGGCTTCCATCCTTTATGCAGTGCGTTAGGTGTTCTACCTGTGACAGTATGTATACTGTTGTTATATGCACTGACAATTTTAGGCAAATTCTCATCCCAGTCAATCTGATCTGGACGGACATACATTCGCAAAAGTTGTTGACAGAGACGATTCATTTGCTCAGTTTGGCCATTCGTTTCAGGGTGTCTGCCTGACGACATGGTCAACCTGGTTCCATAGACTTCCATCAACTTTTGTCACTGTAGACTGGTGAACCGAACATCTCTGTCTGATACGATGGTTTTGGGAAATCCATACTCAGAGACCCATCGCATTTGAAACTTTTGGATTACTATTTCGGTTCTAGCTTCAGCAGGCAAAGGAATGAACATAGCATACTTGGAGAATCTATCAATGATTACCGTTACCTGACTATTGTCGTTTCGACTTTCAGTGAGGCTCATAAAATCAATAGAGATAGACTCACCTGGCTCACTTGGAATAGGTAGTGGTCGCAATAGTCGCATCGGATTCTCATGTGAGGGCTTGCTCCTTTGACAGACAAGACAAGTCCGCACATACGTTAGTACATCTTCTTTCATTCCTTTCCACTCAAAACGCTCACGCACATCGGCATACGTCTTCTTGAAACCAAAGTGTCCTTTTGCATCATGACATTACCCAATGATCAAACTCTTAATTGATTCTTGGTGAGGAATACACAATCGTTCTTCGGTTTTGTTCAGCAAGAAGAGTAAGCCCCCAGTCATTCGATATTTTGGAAACAACTCAAGGTTCTTTCGTAGTGTTCCAATAATAGGACTCCAAATAGGATCACTCCCGTAACCTTGGCGGATCTGTTCTTTCAGTTCATTTCCAATATCGAGATAAGAGACAATAATTCCAAAGAAATTTGCACGCCTGGACAAAGCATCCGCAACCACGTTAGCCTTACCTTTGATGGTTTTCACCTCAAAGTCAAATGTGTCAAGGAATGCGGACCACCTTACCAACTTGTCGGAGAGCTTGGGCTGAGTCTTGATCCACTTCAATGTAGAGTGATCAGAGTAGACAGTGAAATGCCTCCCTAACCAGTAGTGCTTCAAGGTGTCTAGTGCAGCTACTAAGGCATACAGTTCCCTTTCATATATAGAGTTGGCTATTTTTTCTGACGGAAGTCTTCTCGACATAAACTCAAGAGGTCTATATCCCTTACCGTCATTCTACTGTAGCACAACCCCAATCCCATACTGACTTGCATCAGTCGTGACAATGAAAGGAAGAGAAGGGTCAGCAATCTTAAGGACAAGGTAACGAGTCAGGATACGTTTTAACTTTCTAAACGATGACTCACAATCTTTGTCCCACAACCAAGGTTTTTCCTTTTTCAGTAATCTTCTCATAGGAGCAGCTATCAAGGAGAAGTTCCTGACGAACTTCCTATAATAGTTCGTTAGTCCTAAGAAAGACCCTAGTTCAGTTATAGTCTTAGGTTGTGACCAGTCTCTGATTTTTATAATCCTTTTTACTTCAGGCCTTAGTCCTTCCTCGTTTACTATATGCCCTAAGTACAAAACTTCAGGCTTAGGAAACTCAGACTTCTTCGGATTCAGTTTGAAGTTGCCCTCGTGCAACTTCTGCAAAACCATTCGTAGGTGTTTTTCATGATCCTCTAGTGTTTTGCTATACACTAGAATGTCATCGAGATAGACTACTACGAACTGGTTAAGCCATTGATGGAATAAGTGATTCATTGACCTTTGGAAGGTCGCAGGTGCATTGGTCAGACGGAAGGGCATAACCACGAACTCGTAGTGACCATACCTGGTTCGGAAAGCCGTCTTGTGTTGATCCTTAGGAGCCACCACAATCTGGTGGTACCTTGACTTGAGATCAATCTTGCTAAAGTATCTACACCCCTGCAACTGATCTGATAGATCATCAATGCGCGGAAGAGGTTCCGCGTTTTTAACAGTGACGAAATTCAGCCCGCGATAATCAATACATAAATGAAGTTCACCTTCCTTTTGGGCACAAATAAGACAGGTGCACCATAAGGAGATGAGCTAGGGCAAATCCATCCCTTGTTAGTAAGTTTTTGTAGCTGCTTTCGCAGTTCCTCAAGTTCCCTAGGAGACATTCGGTAGATGGTACCCTTGGGAATTTTGCTTCCGGGAATGATCTCAATAGTGTGCTTAATAGCACGCTCAGTAATTCCCGTTGGTTCAGACTGCAAGTCCTTGTACTCATCAAGAAGTTTTTCAATAGAAGGTGGATAAGATGAGGAACACTCACCTACTCGCTTGACAAGTACCATCATCACCTCATGATCCAACTTCTTTTTTACTACCATTGATCGGAAAGCTGGGTAACTCATACAATAGAAAGACAGAGTAGAGTCAGAGCCATACTTATGATACAACTTTATCGCACGCAATTCAGACTTCTCGTCCTGGAGTTTGACAATTTTATCTTTGAACTTGACTTCTAGGTCGGCGTCCTCATGCCAATCCATACCCTGAATTATGTCAAAGGGTAAATTCTTCTCAATTAGGAAGGATATCTTGTGTAGAATAATCCTCTTACCTTCCTTTCTCCTGAAATAGCACTTAACACGATCGACGTATTGAGAGACAGTGATCGTGCTCTTGTCAGCCAGTATAGACATGATAGGTCTAGGTAAATCCTTTGCCTTCATTCCCGTATGCAACTTACGAATTGCCTTCTTTGAGATATAAGACCGCCTCGATCCTGGATTTAACAAGACACCTACTCGCGTGTGCGCAATCTCAACATTCGCAATCATCAACTCACCCTTAGACTTTGCTTTCTTCGCCCACAAACTCCGTAGTGCTATCAGTTCATTGCCGAGCTTGTCAAGGGAATCGTCGAGTGAGACATAACAAAGTACTATGTCAGGGTGGTCTGAACGACGGGCAGAAGAAGAGTCATCCTCCGCCTTGAGAATCGAAGGGGTGGAAGGGTTTGTAGGCGCCTTACCTTTATCTTGGTCTAAATCATTCGACTCAATAGGAGCAGATGTTACGCCTACTGGCTGCTAGCTTTTGGGTTTCGAATAAGTGGGCACCAGGCTATCACGTGCCCTACGACGCCACACTTGAGGCAGTGGCGATTGTCCATTTTGGATTGCCACTCCTCCCGAGTCATGTTCATCTTTTCCCAGGGTCTCCCGAACGCGATGTCGGAATGCTCGGGAAACGAGTGTGGCCTCTTCTTCTTCTTTCACTAACTTTGGCCTCCCTTGTTGACCATTACGGCAGCGACGTCACCCTTCTCGGACTCGCTGCCGCCATTACCTCCTCCTCCCTCAGACTCGTCGAGGGGTAACTTCTCTACTGTCTCATCCTTAAATAGCACAAGCATATGGTCCTGACGCTTTTGCCGCCAAAGGACCCACTTGCCGTACCCACCAATCGGTCCTGATTTGACTACCGAAACGTACGTACCTTTGACTTGTGTGGTCATCTGCTCTCTTTGCAGAGCGAGATCGCAGAACTGTCGGTAATTGTACTTACCAGACGTTGACTCTGCCACGAGCTTTCCACAAATACACTCGGGCAATGCTCGTGAGTAAATGTACAGGACCTGATTATCCTGCAAATTCAACCCACGTACCTGCAAAAGACGATCAACTTCACGAGACAGTGAATCAACTGAAGACCAACGCTTTTGGCCAATGGTGGTGAGTTCGTCGAAAGCCTTATCGGTTGTCGTTTTATCGAGAAATCTCTCCTTAATCTTTTGGAGAAATTGTCTCAACGTCAATGTCTTAGTCCACTCACCTATATCCTCGAAGCTAGTAGCATTGGCTTCAGCCAACACCCACTCCTTAGCCACTCCTCCCAAACACGACGTGGAGAAAGCGACCTGACTCTCAGACTAAACGGGTGTTGTTCCGACGTAGGTCTGAATTTCCGCAATCTACAACAACAAGTTTCTCTTCCTTCTTGTTGTTGTACGTGAATGGCAATTTCATTTTAACCTTTTCTTTCTTCTTTGGTTTTTCCGCTTCCTTCACCGGTTCTTCTTTCTTTTCGGTGGGTGACTCTTTCTTCTCAACTGGTCTCTCGGGTTCTTTCTTAGAACCTTCGGGTTTCTCGAGTGTCACTCGTTTCATTTCATCCTTCATTAATTTTTTTTGGGGTTTCTTTTTGTCTTCTTCCCCCTTGGCCACCTCCTCATACACCACCTTTTGTTTTGCTTTTATCATTCTGATCATTGTCTCCATAGCGGCGGTGTTACTGTCAATTACTGTCAATCTTCTTCTCGAGATGAACGAGGTAGACCATAATAGACTGAAGAATAGATGCAACCTCACTACCTGCTTCTTCGTAATGCTTTTGCCTCAATTCATTCATCACTCTTTCTTCCTCTTCTTGCTGTTCTTTCAATCTCCTGTACTCTTCAATCTTCCTTCTCTCTTCTCTTAATGTACTCTCCAGCTGCCTGACGTTTTCCTCCATTATTTGTACAGAAAATTGTGGTTTCTTTCTTTCTTCCTTTCGTTCCTTTTTTTTTCTTTCCCTTTTTGATCCATCTTTTCAAAGCTCTCGGCAACATATTGATCAAGGATCAATCGTCTTTGCTTTATGAGGTCTTTGACCCTCTTGCCTGTTTCCATCAACTGAACAACAATTTCAGTGGCCTCCAAATCTCTTTCTGCATCACACATATTAATTTGTCTGTGAACGTGTTATTCAGCATCTGGACCGACACCATGTATCTCACCAAGAAGCTGGCAAAGGAGATCGACCAAAGTCTTTCTCCTTCCGTCAATCTGACCAAGGGTTTTCAATTCCACTCCCTCTTCATCGACAAAGACGGTACGAGGAATGAGGAAGAAAAAAAGCGGTATGAAGTGAGTCAAGATAGAGGCACGCAGACATTTCCAGAGAGAACTCATTTTATCAAATGTGCAGATGTCGCACAATAAATAAAATTAAAAGACAAATAAATTCCACGACGCACGCAACTTTATAGCAAGAATTATTCAAAGCAAATACAAAGAAACAAATGTTTTACTAAGTCTAACTTCGTTGTCTGTTCTTTCTATGTAATGACGTCCTACAACATGTGTACATGTACCGCAGCCACAACCAGTGTGATCAAGACAACAACACATGGGTGAGTATGCAAGGACACCACAGAACAACCAATCAGGTGAGTAAAACCAACACTTCAACACAATCAATTGTTAGCTTCCTCTCTTATGGTTGTAGTTTTTGCAGCACCCAACACGTTACACACTCGACACCTCACTTAGCCACGCAGGCCACGTGTCACCCTTGGAATGCCAACACAGCAACTCAATAGAGTCTGTCACGTCAGCACATTAAGAACCCGGAGGGTGTACAAGGGGGATGCCATGTCAGCAATGAGTGCCTGAACTAGAATGCCACGTCAGCAGGTACTCACGACACAGATACGTGCCACGTCAGACCATGCCCTGCCAAAACAACATGTCAACATTCCGTATTATGCCACATCAACGGTATAATTCACACACTTTATCTATCTGGACCGGCGCCACGTCAGCCTATTGCCAACGAAGCTCTCGCCGGTGTCTTCAATGCAGCTATGTCATTAGTCTTCAAGGGACGACAACTCACAAGTGCATTACTACAATGTCTAGACTTGCGGTATGACCGCGCGCGTTAATAAACACGTTTCGTTTTGCACATGCGGCACCTCCCACTTGCCTAGGTGCCACGTCAGCACCTGGCAGCAGACAGCAGATCGCGATGAAGAAGTTCACTCCGATACCAAATTGTAATGAGCCCTGTCCGACAGATACTCAGAAGTCGTCCAATACCTGTAGAGTCAGTATCTGCATCAAAGTCTCCAATTTGTGAAGAAATATATCAAACAGTATCTCAATATCATCAATAGAAGAGAAGGGAGGGGGAACAGACAAAGGAGAAGATGAAGAATCAGACAATAATCCCTGCTGACCCTCTCCTTCTCCGGGCTTCTCCCCTCTTCACATCGACAATGATAATAAGTATATTCTTGATCACACACGGAAATGCCACGTGGCGCTCAATATCATGAAGACCATGAAGACATTGCAGATTCCAGTATCGACTTCAAACCCAGGTGAGTACCCGTTCTCGCTCAACCACAGATCCCGATCTTCCTCCTCCTCGCAACCAATCACTTCATGTAGACAGCGTGGACAATGCCACGTGAACAATGTAGACCAGTAGCAGCGCTACATCAGTATGCCACGCAGACCATAGGCAGCACCACATATACCAGAGGCAGCGCCACATCAGCATGCCACGTAGAGCAGAGGCAGTGCCACATATACCAGAGGCAGAGCCACATCAGCATGCCACGTAGACCAGAGGCAGCGCCACATATACTAGAGGCAGCACCACATCAGCATGCCACGTAGACCAGAGGCAGCGCCACATCAGCATGGCATGATGCACTGAAGATGTGCCGACATGCTGCCTCCACCTCGTGCCGTCGTCCGCAACGTTTGTGCACAGCCAGCATGAAGCCAGTGTCGTGTCAAAGTCGAGCCAGCGTCAAAGCAGCATAGCAAGATTGAATGCTTGACTTACTCGAGGTCAGCCGTAAGTAACAGATGTCGAGGTTGTCTGGCCTCGGGTAATTTTCCCACAGCCGTCCAGATTGAATCACAGCTGAGGGCCCGGATTGTACAGTTGCAGACTTCTCCCTTGGACCTGATGCTGTCTGGGTACCTGCATACAAACAAGTGTGTGCTTGACCTGCGGCCTGGGCTAGGTACCTTTGGACTTTGACTGTTGAGTGGACCGACAGTTGACTAAAGTCAACTGTCACACGCCCAGGCCCTGAATTCGTGAAGGGCCTTTTCTGCCCTTGTTCGGCCTGGGCTGAGGGCGGCCAAGTAGGCCCTCTGATGACCCTCAGTTCCACGAGACATATGGTATGAGTTATTGCATACACAGCTTTGTGAGGAAAAGGCTAGTAGAAGTTTACCCCAATAATCCGGTAATTGCATGGGTGGCGGCAGGGACGGAATTTTTGGCCCCAGATCACGACTCTCAGATAGCCTGCCTGGATGTCACATCTGGTTCTCCTCTGATGTTCCCTAACACCTGGTTGTTCAAGATGAATGGAGAGAGAATCAAAGTACTTGTTTCCACAAAAAAAACAATCCTATGTGCTTCAAGTGTTGGAATAGGGGCACCTCGGAACAGACTGTAATTGTCTGCAGAATATGGCAAGCAGATCCAGAGGAGGGCTGTCACAGTCTTTGCTAATGGAATGTGAGACCAGGCATGGTCTGTGGTACGTCAACCATCCCTTATGCAGGGGATGGGTGTTCGATGACACACTAGATCAGCCCAAATGGGTCTGGGTACTGAAAGGTGAGCCCAAGGTCCAAACCGGATGTTTATCCACCATATGACAGCAAATGGCGCAAGACTGGAGCAAAACGGATTGGGAAGAAAGAAGGGGGCTTTGAGAAAAGACCTCTGCTGGATGAGTGGGAAGTGGACGATGATAAGATGAGATTAGAAAAGCTGGAGGACCAACACAGAATAGGGGAAAGTGCAGGGATAGCATAACTGGAGAATCCTAGAGCAAGGAGCATGCTGAAAAACAGCGAACTGAAGAAGACAGACAACAGCAGTAGGCAAAAGGAACCGGAGAAGGAATCAGATAGCAGCACAACCTCAAAAACTTCAAAAGTGTCACTCAGGCGGAAGGCGTCTACAGAATCAGAAGGGAAAGAGCCATCTAAAAACAAAGCCTTAAGGCAGAAAGCGGTACAGGGATACAAACAAAGGGACGTAGAAAAATCAGAGAATACAAGGGAAGCAACAAGACTTGCAGGTCCAACAGAATAATGGGAATGAGGGTACAGGGTGCACTCGTTCACAGTCAGAGGTGCCAAAAACACAGGCTGACTCCACCGCTGACGATTCCGATACAGATTGCAGTAAAGTGGGAGGCTAAGAGCAGGATGCACACATCACGGACAGATCAAATCCGGATTCAGACAAGAGCATCAAAGGTACTAACAGTGATAGACAAGGGAACAAGGAATCAGACAAGGATCAGAAAATAAGTGAGGAGGAAGAAGAGGAGGTCGATGATGAGGAAGAGGACGACTCTGAGGAAAATGAGGAAGCTGATGTAATGGAAAAGGAGCAGAAAGGGATCGAAGGATAGGACAAAGAGGAAGAAAAAGATGGGGGAAGGGAGGAAGACTGAGACTCACTCGACTGGCAGCAAGAGTATATTAAAGAATTGGAAAGAGAGAGGGAAAGAGAATTTGAAATCTGTGTTGCAAATCACAGACACCAGAGAAACCTCAAAAGGGCAACCTGCCCGAACCCCACCACACAGCTCCTGGGAGGTTAGTTGCAGAGGTCCTCGCCAAACCCGTCGATGATGCTCTGCAGGAGTTTCAAACCAGCGCGATCGAAGTAAGGAGTAGACAAGCACGGGGATAGCAGGGAAGGAGAGAAGGAACAGACCCGAGAAGAGGAGTGAGAGAAAGGTGAGGAGACAGGGGCCAAAACCATCCGAAGCTCACCTCCCGCCTTTGATTGGGTATGGAAGGAGGAGGTGGGAGGTGATTTGGATGGTTGGCCCCTGTCTCCTCATCTTTCTCTCACTCCTCCCTTCTCGAGTCTGTTCCTTCTCTCCTCCCCTGCTATCCCCATTCTTGCCTACTCCTTACTTCGATCGCACTGCATTGGAACTCCCACAGTGTATCGTCGACACGTTCGGCAAGGATCTGCAACGGACCTCCAAAGAATTGAGTGGAGGGGTTCGGCCAGGTTGCCCTTTTGTTCCCATGGAGGGGAGGTGCCTCTCTTGAACGAGGGTGTGGGGTTGGTTTCATGGTGGGATCAGTGTGGGAAGATATTGTAGAGGGCTGCTTGGGCGGCTGTCTGCGAGTCTTGACATGACAGCGGAAAGCCTCTCAGAGCTTCTGAGCGAGAGACTAGCAGTATTAGGATAGCGGGGCAGCAATCACGATCTCTTTAGGTTTGCAACTGTTACAATTTCTACTTCGGGGATTTTTATCTAGTTTTTTTGCAGAGAATCTCTCTAAATGCCAGTGGCATAAACATTAAATGCTGAGTGGGGATCCGGGCCGCCCGGGTGACCGGCAGGGGCCTGGGGGAGGTCCCGGGGGGCCTGGCCGGGCAGGGCACCTGGTTGGGGGCCGCCCCCCCCCAGCACACTCACCTGTTGGGGGGGTTCGGACCCCCTTTTGGCTGGTATTGGCCTCCCGCAGGCCTACCAGATCCGACCGGCCCAAGAAACCGTCGCGTCGGGCCCGGTAGGCCTGCTTTTTTTTTTGAATTCACGCTGGCTCTGTTGGCGCCAACCTCCCCCCCCTTTCGAACCTCCGATCGGCTGGGGTGGTCTGCCACTCGCCCCCCAGCACGATCGGAGTTGGTGCCGACCTGCTGCTGCACTGTCCTGCTGCGCCGTCGCCCGTCGCCCGTCGCCATCGCCATCAACTGTCCTGCTGCTGCTGCTACGATGAAGGCCCCGACTGTCCTGCTGCTGCTGCTACGACGAAGGCCCTGCTGCTACGACGAGGGCGCCATTCTTTTTCTTCTTCTTCTTCTTGTCGGAATCGTTTAGGGTTTGTGTAGGACGGGGAGACGAAGGCCCTGCTGCTAGGGTTACTGCTGCAGGTAACTACAAACACCCCGACAAACTTCTTCTTCTTCTCCTTCTTCTTCTTCTTCTTCTTCGTCTTCTTCTTCTTCTTCTTCTTCTTCTTCTTCTTCTTCTTCTTCTTCTTCTTCTTCTTCTTGGAATCGTTTAGGGTTTGTGTAGGATTGGGAGAC